AACGCGATCAGACGCCCGCCCATGCCCCGCGGTTTCTGGAAACTAGTACCTCGGAGGTACTAGTTTTTTACAGCGCATCTTCGGAGTGAATCCTCGGGTGAGCCACGGGAGCTCTACGCTTCCCAGATGTGGTGGTGAGATCGCGCCCGGAAAATCCGCCTATCTTCCGCCTCTCTAAGCGTGCCTAATGCTCCGTGTGACTGCAGGACTCTTTTTGTAGCAGGAACTCCTTTGCATATTAGGCGCCACACCCCTAATGTAGCCAATCCTCCAAGAGCTTACAGTAGCCCCTGTAAGAAGAGCTCTGTAAGCTCTTGGAGGATTGGCTACATTAGGGGTGTGTCGCCTAATATGCAAAGGAGTTCCTGCTACAGAAAGAGCCCATGAAGCAAAATTATCCTCCGCTCGCATGCTTTGCCTCTGAGCTTAACCCGAGGGCACCTGGTTCGTTCTTGCTGTCTCATCTGTACCAGTAAGCATGCGAGGACTTCCAGTGCAAAACCATAACAGTCATTCACTTAACACTGGAGAAAAAAAAAAAATCCGTTTCTCTGCCAGGCCGTACACTCCCAATTCGGCCGTCTGACTCCTTCTGCTTCCAGACAAAATATCAACACACAATTCTTGCTAGTAGATATATTTATAGTCCAAAATACAAAAAAAGCAGTCAAAGCAGTCGAAGATGAACCGGCTACACAAACTTTTCGGTAATCCGTAGTAAAAGCAGTACAGGAGAGCAGGGCTTTTTTTGTGTAGAAAAAGCCCAGCAGGAACTCACTAGCATAATAGGCCACACCCAAAAGCAGAAATCCATTCGTATATTAGGCCACACCCCTGCCCCTTGGCTTGCCCGGGTGCCCCGTGGCTGCAGGGAGCCCAGGCTGCAGGGAGCCCGGGCAAGCCCCCCCCCAAGGCCGCGGGGAGACTAGGCAAGCCCTTCCAGCCCTCCCCGGCCTGCCTGCCTCGGAGTCGCTGGGGGAGGGGTTGCTCTTCAGGCCTTCCCTCTGTAGCCACACACACAGAGGTTTTGGCTGTACTGGGTGTGGCCAACTCTGAAGCCAGCCAGAACTCCGTTTCATTCCTGCCCAAAAATAGCCCTGCAGGAGAGCATAAAGCAAGGGTCCCCAACGAGGTGCCCCTAGAAACCTTTCCTGGTGGAAAGCGGGCAGGGCCAGGTGGGACCTTCGACCAACAAGGCTCCTGATTGGCAATTGGGGATTTGATTGCCTGAGCAGATTTTTAACACCATTGCTCTGGCAGCCGCCGCCGCCACAGCACAAGCCTCTTCACTGTCTGACTGAAGGTAAGCCATTTTGTGGCTGGCTCCGCCTCCTGCAGCAGCCATTTCCGTGCCACCATGTTGTGCCAGAATTCCATCCGTGCCTGTAGGCTCAAAAGGGTCGGGGACTCCTGCTGTAAAGGAAGCCTGGCTGCGTCTCGTTTCAAGAATCTGGTTTTCCAAACTTTGCCCTTAAGCGGTGGATTCTGGCTGCGTGCCCTCATCTGTACAGAGTGTTCGAGGAGCACTTTATACCCATAATGTTCTTAAATCCTTCCTTTACGTGGCTGTTGTCACCAGTGTTCCCTCTAAGCTGAATCAGTGTGAGCTAGCTCAGTTTTTTTAGCCTCCAGCTCACACACTTTTATCTTAGCTCAGGAAGGATGGCTCCAGAGCAAATTAATTTATGCAGTAGCCAAATAGCTCACTCACATTTTTAATGCCAGTAGTTCACAAAGCAGAATTTTTGCTCACAAGACTCCACAGCTTAGAGCATGGGTGTCAAACATGCGGCCCGGGGGCCAAATGAGGCCCCCGGAGAGTTTCTATCAGGCCCGCAGTGGAACTGGCCATCTTTTGCTTCCAGTTCTGCTGCTGCTGCTGCATCATAGCTTGCTTCATCAGACTCTCTCTCTTTTTTTTAAAGATATTTTTATTGAAGTTTCCAAAAGCAAATCCAACATACAAATGTTCCTACAATTCACAACAGATGAGCATACAGCCTCCTTTCCTTCCAAACTCTATATACAAACCAACATTCCTAACCCTTCACGCTCAATTTCCAATTATAGAATTTTCTCCAGTTTTCTTCAAAAAAAGATTCATCCTTCCCCTTTAGTATACATGATATTTTATCCATTTCCACGACTTCAAATAGTTTTTGTGTAACCTCTATCCTATCAGGGATTTTTTCCCTTTTCCAATACTTGGCAAATAATATTCTAGCGGCCATTATACAGTGTAACAACAAATTTTTCTCAACTTTTCCATATATCTCTGGAACCATATTGAGTAGAAACAGCTCTGGTTTAAGAGGAATTGGAACTCCCATAATTTCTTTTAACATTTTACCTATCATCCTCCAATACTCCTTTGCTCTGCTACATGCCCACCACATGTGAAAGTATGTGCCTACATTCTGTCTACATTTCCAACATACATTAGAGGTTGTCTTAGCGAACTTTGCTAGTCTTGCTGGGTAAATGTACCATCTAAGAGCCACTTTGTAGATGTTTTCTTTAAAGGAGGTTGCCCTAGTAATTCTTATATTTGTATCCCATATTTTCAACCATCTGTCTAGCTCTATATTATAGCCTAAATCTTTATTCCAAGCTGTCATACTTGACCTCACCACCTCTTCCTGCATTTTTATTCTCCAACAAGTTTCTGTACAAATTTTTTATAGTTCGTTCTCCCAACATAATCCATATCTTATCTATTTCGGTTGGCTTATCATAAAATCCTTGCTTTTGGTCTTCCCTATATCTGGTTTGTAATTGTATTACTTGTAGCCATGACAATTCTATATTTTGGGCTTTCAACCATTCAGTTGACTTAAGTTTGTTCTTGCTATCTAACAGGCCGTCATAACACAATTTTTTATCATACTCATACAAACATGGCTTCACAAAGGCTTCGATGGGTGATACACACCTTGGTATTTTAACATAATATTGCTGTTTGACTTCTCTCCATACCTTTGATAATGACCAGACTCTCTTAATCACTCATCCATTTCATGTTTTAACCTGGGTCCTAGACTCAGAACTCTAAGCATGAGATTTCTATGGTAAACTGGCTGTCTTCTGCTGCTGCTGCATCACCGTAGGTTTGCATCTTACAGATACATACTTGAATAGCGTACTCAAGATTGCAACAGCAAAGACATTTTGATGCAATAATTCAGAGCAAGAGGTGTCAGTTATCAGATACTGTTAAATAAACAAAATATTGCAAGAGTGCTAATGTTTTAAGCATGTTTTTATTTTAAGTAAAAAAAATCTTTGTGTTTGTGTCCTTTATAAAGTTTATATCTCCGCTACCTGCTCAAGTGGTTAAGATGCTGAACTGCAGGCTGTGGAAGGTCGGTAGTTCAGCAGTTCGAGACCCGAGTTGCCGCATGACGGAGTGAGCTCCTGTCTCTAGTTCCCACTCCTGCCAACCTAGCAGTTCGAAAGCAAGAAATTGCAAGTAGATAAATAGGTACCACTTCAGTGGGAAGGTAACAGCGTTCCGTGCGCCTTGGTGTTTAGTCATGCCAGCCACATGACCACGGAAATGCCTTCGGACAGTGCTGGCTCTTCCCATAATGCCACACACGCCGAAGATAGATCACGATGGGTAGCCGTGTTAATCTGTCTGTAGCAGTAGGAAAGAGCCAGAGTCATAAGAACATAAGAGAAGCCAATGTTGGATCAGGCCAATGGCCCCTCCAGTCCAACGCTCTGGGTCAAAACTCCCAGGTGCCATCAGGAGGTCCAGCAGTGGGGCCAGGACACTAGAAGCCCTCCCACTGTTGCCCCCCCAAGCACCAAGAATACAGAGCATCCCTTGCCCCAGACCAAGAGTTCCTATCTATACCTTGTGGCTAAGAGCCACTGATGGACCTCTGCTCCATATATTTACCCAATTCCCTCTTGAAGCCGTCCATGCTTGTAGCTGCCACCACCTCCTGTGACAGTGAATTCCACCTCCTGTGACAGTGATAGAGCAGTGATGGCGAACCTTTTAGAGACCGAGTGCCCAAACTGCGACCCAGAACCCACTTATTTATCGCAAAGTGCCAACACGGCAATTTAACCTGAAAAAGAAGGTTTTACTTTAGAACAAACAACCCATACATTAACTTAAGATGATCCAAACAAAGTAAGGAACGCAATCCCAAATGGTTTCATTTACTTAGAATGATTTGGCAGAGAATTCGACACTTTAATGATGGTCCGGGCCTGGCTGGGGCGATGGCACGCGTGCCCACAGAGAGGGCTCTGAGTGCCACCTCTGGCACCCGTGCCATAGGTTCGCCACCACTGCAATAGAATGATACAACTGACAGTCTGCAACCCTTTAGCGGCTCAAACTGGGCCACCCAAGATAATAACAGGGCCAAACCCTGCCTAATGACAGAGCTGGCCCTGCTGGTGTTGTTTCCGGAAGACTCTTGGACTCAGTTCCGAGTAAGGTCACCTAGTACAGCAAGGAAATTCATCCCATATTTGGGGATTTTTCCCCCCCACATGGAATTAGCCAATTGATCAAGACGTTGTGGTTGGTTCACCCACTTGACAATTTCCTGTGGCGATTTCTGCACCCCAGTTGCAGACTCCCACAGATAAGCTCTTAAATCAAGGTGGAGCTGTCATGATTTGTCACGGCCTGAATGTTTTTCTTGTCCTTCCCACAACAAAAGCTTACAAGAAGTCATAGATAGGAACAGAACCCTTGGTCACAACATTCCGACATATAATCTCAGCTGGAAAGGCCCTCCTCATCACGTGACCCAACTCTTTGGCCTGCTTCTTGCTCCACCGGTGGAGACGCGTGGTGTGGGAGTTGGGAGGAGCCTTTCTGTGTACTACTTGATTACACTCTTTGTTTCAGGGTGCCTCGCCCCTCCAAGGCGGGGCACTGAGCAAACTGGCTAGGCCTCTCCCGGCTAGGCCTGTCCTGCTTAAAAGCTTCCAGCAGAAACGAGAGGACAGAAACTCTTCTGGTTTGGGGCAACGGCAACCTCTTTTCCTACGGCTTCATGGCCACCTACAAAATCCGAGTGGCCACAGGCAACTACCTGTGCGGGGGGACCCTGGACTCCATCGCCATCACCTTGGTGGGGACTCAGGGGGAGAGTCCCAAGTTTCAGTTGGATAGATGCGGCAAGGATTTTTCACCAGGGGAGGTGAGTGCTTTAGAGTTTGCAAATGGGGGTGGGGTGGGGGTAGGAGTGTTTAAGGGAGAGTTTGGTTGACATGATTGCAAATGTCAGAGGGTGGCCACGTCAGTCTGCAGTAGATATGAGACGAGTAGCCCCATAGAGACCAACAAGCTTCTCAGGGTAGCCCTGATCTAAATAGCCCAGGCAAGCCTAGTCTCATCAGACCTTGGAAGCTAAGCAGGGTCAACTCTGGCAAGGACTTGGATGGGAGACCTCCAAGGAATACCAGCAGCCGGGAGGCAGGGGCAGGCTTTATTCAGCCACCTCTCTGAATATCCTCCAGGCCCCCAGTAGGGGTCAGTCGGCAGAGGTGCACACACATGCACATATGTGTAACAGTTCCCACACATCAAGCCGGTCACATGCTCGATTTGATCTTCGCGGCGGGGATTACAGTGGACCGGATTACTGCCTTGGCAGTTCCATGGTCGGACCACTACGCCCTGAGGGCCCGAGTGAATGTGTCACCCGAACCCTGTTTGGGCGGTGAGCCAATTTGGGCTCGCCCGCGGAGCCAGATGGACCCTGAGCGGTTTCAGATGGCTCTCCGGGATACACTGCCCCCTGGTGACTCGTTAGATGAGCTAGTGGGGAGTTGGAATAACCGACTCTCTACAGCCATCGAGGAGATCGCACCTAGATGTCCTCAAGCTAGGCTGGCGCCCTGGTACACACTGTGTCTGCGGCTGATGAAGCGAGGGCTTAGATGACTAGAGAAACAGTGGCGGCGAGCTCGTGACGAAGCGTCAAGAGCATCCTACCAAACGTTTATGAAATTGTATGAGATGGCGGTCAAAGCCACAAAGAAGAAATTCTATGCAGCTGAGATTGCATCTGCAACCTCGCGCCCAGCACAATTATTTAGAACGATTCGGTCACTAACCCCCCTGCCACAGAGCAGACAAAATATTAAGGAATTGGACATCGGCTGTGAGGCGTTTGCGAGGCATTTCGCAGATGAAGTCTTGTCGCTCTGTCATGACCTCCCGGCCACACTTGAGACAGTACGTGAACTCGAGGCTCCTAGCACGTCTTCTGGTCCTATTCTGGATTGTTTCGGCCCTCTCAGCCTAGAGGAGGTTGACAGATTGATCTCGACTGTGCGCCCAACTACTTGCAGCCTTGATCCGTGCCCCTCTTGGCTGATTAAAGCTGGCCGAGAGGAGTTGCGAGGCCCACTCTGGGATATTGTGAACAGATCCCTCTTGGAGGGTCT